AAAAAACAAATATACGCGATTTAAATCCGGAAAAATAGTTTCATTCCAAAGATAAATTTAAGTTAAAATGCAAAAAACGGTATTTTGACTTACAACAACATACGTGGGAGTTATCGGAGTATACTGAAGGACAAACAAACTATGAAATAAGTCACGATTCATTATAAAACTGGTTTCAGAGCAGTGCGGATTTATCTGTGTGCCGTCCGCGCGGAGCACCGGAGCGAAGTAACACGTGTTGCGTTAGAACATCATTTTGGTGAAGCGGATTGCTCCGTACGAAACATGCGCCACGTGAACTCCGCACAAGCTACCCGTGCGTTCATTGTAGGCGACTGTCTTCCGTGAATATCCGTAGTAAATTAAATACTCGATTCAGAGAGCACTGCGGTTTTTACGCATGCGGACGGCCCGCAGACGAACAGTCCGTACGGACTTTACGCATGGCTGTGAAACCGGTCTTAGGGTCGTATTCTAGAACTCTACTCAATGCTCAAGTTAGGATTGTACTGGAAACACAAGCACTGGAAATACGAACCTAATGCTCAAGTCAGGATTTGAGTATGGTTTAAAGCACTCGAAATCATACTCAAGTCCCTGCCATTAGGGTCGTATTTCCAGTGCTTGTGTTTCCATTGCAATCCTGACTTGAGCATCGAGTAGAGTTCTCTAGTGTCATGATGACGAGTGGAGTGGCAGTGTCACTCAGATCTTTGCGATTTAACGCTTGAAATAACACTGCAACTTATACGGGTAGGCGAGTCTTATCTCTATATTATCACATGATGTCATACATAAATTATACGTGATACGATTATGTTATACGTGATTGGTCTGGAGGCGGTTTGCAGTCATTTGATGGAGCGAAGTATACTGGATCCGTATAACACAATCAGTTGAAAGTAATTAGGTACTAAGTGGAAGAATAGTCACAGGGTTATTCCAAACAAACTAGCATGGATTAGTTTATGGTTCAATGACCATAACAGATGACGTGAAAATTTTATTGTAAACATCGTAAAAATATACTAAATATATATAATACACTAAATATATATCACTAGTAACAGCTTTCAGTAAAATTGGTTAAATCAATAAGTCATAAAGTGCCAAAAAAACCTGTAACTAAAGGGTTACTTGTAAAATACTAACCTCGCAAGACAATAAACAACTTTTGTTTCATCACTTTTAATAATTCACCAGATTTAACATTCATAAAAGAATAATATATTTAAATACATCGCTTTAAACGGTAATAACTCTGCGCAGGATCGGGGGTGGGAGTCGCCGAGGGCACATGCACGTTTGAACTTACTACCAAACACAGATAATAGTGTCAGGTAGTACAACAAAAATTTAAAACTTTATTTTTAATAAATTTATTATGTTATAAATACATAAAACGTTGAAATAAACATCAAACTCATGCACGCACGCACACACTGATACCCACATATACTACACACATTTTGGTATCCTATTGTTTTTAAAAATATTATCTTTATTTAATTAAACGTTACGCCAGAGAACTGTCCGAGATGATAAATGGAATCTCTTTTAACGCAGTTCTGGCAGAATACCAGCGTCACGGGAAACTGCTGCATGTGTGCTGGGGTCAGGGCCTTTTCACTGCCATGACTTCCAAATTTACTTTAATTAGTTAAATGTGTTACTTTTGTTATAAAAAAATGTCATTTTTACGTGGTTCTATATAATAATAATTAATAATAATAATAATAATAATAATAACGCTCACAATCAACATAGCCCCGCACTAGGGAAACCCTATAATTATGGTGTTAGTTTTAGTGGATCCTATGTAAATAAGCTGTCATGAAAATGAATACAGTTTTTATCTATCTATCTATGTTTTGTAAGAGATCATGGAACAAAAGTTGGTGTTTACGATCATTGACCTAAGGTCAATGGTTACGATGTTAGTAATATAGACTATATAGTATAAATCTGTTGCCTCTTTTAAATTAGCCTATAAGAAGTTTTTATTATCAACTCAATTATAATCTCATTACATAAGGTAGTCGTGCATTGCTTGCAAAGTTCTTAAAAAGTGATCAGAGCCAATTTGTACAATGTGTTAACACTAATCACCTCACTTACACTACATATACTCACCTCACTTACACTACGTATACTCACCTCACTTACACTACATTATAATCACATTTTTGGTATTTATTTCATTTTTATTATTATGTATCTATGTTAGGATTAGTTTATGGTTTTGTTTCATATTTTAAGTTTTGATTTATATTTGTAATAAGTTTTATACCTAATCTTTATATATCTTTTTTGTTTTATTTTTATCTTACCGCCTGCTTGGACGAGGCGCCATCTTTCTTTTTGTCTATTTATGGCGCCACTGAAAACCAGCGTAATGAGGCGTTCTTCAACGACTCGTTACAAAAAGCTGAGTGGTGACCATTTTGGTAACATATAATGTATGATTGTGTTTGTTTTGTATTATTTATTGTAAAATGTTGCGAAATAAATTATTTTTCTTTCTTTCTTTCCTGCGAGGTTGTTACTATTTTAAAAATAACGTATTAGTGATGATAATTAAAATTAGAATACTAGTAAATAATATACTGTTTTTAACAATAGGTACTTAGCGTAAAGTAAAAATGCAACCATTCAGGTACGAAACGTTTATTAGGTATCTACCGAAATAACTAAAGAAAATTTTTGGATATGCACTACGGTACAACTTTGTCAACAGAATTATAAGTCTTATTGAATAATTAGTTTTCCTTAAAATTTATTTATTTATTACTGGCACTAATAATTGTCAAATTTAATATCGTTTCTCTCCGACATAACTTGTATTAGACAATTTTTTTTAGGGTTTTTTCGTGTTAACACTTTACGTTTTAAACAAGTGTCAGTCTCATTCTACCAGTGAATTGCATTCATAAATAAAAATCACAATGTCAGATAGGGCAATTAAGGCAAAATTATCAAATAGGCCAGTTAGTTAGGTGAGGAACGATATCACAGTTAAAACTATACTTGTACACGAAATTTTTTAACCAAATTGAAATGATAATTTTTAGTAATAATTTTCTTAAAATTTGGAATTCTTCCAGGAATGTGCTATATAGTAGAAAAATAGAATCTTTATGGCTAAAACAAACCAAAATCGAGATTGCAATTGCCTGGTAAAAACGTTTGCGTTATGTTAACATAGTTTTAAAATTACAAATAGAAACAAAGGATGCCTAAATTAATCTTAGACAGCAACGTCTAAAGTTCGAAATCGATTTTAACGAATTACCTTATTATATATGCCTGCACCTTAAGCGCGTTTACGTACAGCATCCGGTTCGTATTTGTTCCGAATCCAAGAGTACACAAATCTAGAAAAGTCGGACCCACTTGGGATGTCGCTTGTGCACTAAGTCCTATTCCAATCAGGGAATATACGAATATCGCTTGTACCCTAGAGTTAAAATGATCGCTGTGACATTTCAAGCCGTCATTTCTCGGATTAGAAACTGGGGGTCTACTCTCGACATCCGTTCGAAACAATTACTGCCAAATAAGCACTACGTGACCAAATGAAAAGACGCGTGATGCGAATGAAGCTTGATTCTTGATACTTGTCTTTTAATTTTGTCGAATATTACTTATTTGACAGTAATTGTTTCGGACGGAGATCGAGTGTAGACCCCCTGATACGAATCGGATGTAGTGCACATACTCTACTACTTATTATCGAGTTCTTAGGTTTTCGCGATTGCTACATGGAAGTGAAAATATTTTTCGGAATCGCGTGTATTTGTGTTTTTTTTTGTCAAACAAACCAAGGTTTTTTTTATTCTACGGGCTGTCAAATTACATGCTTGTAGAAGAGCTGTAGCAGTCCCTGGGTGCCGCGCGTCTGTAACGCTTTAGTAATGTTTAGTTCACTAATTAAGCGCCACAGTCTAACATGAAAGTGCCCTTAAGATCCCAGGGCTCCAAAAAATAGTTTCATTTCCAATGTAATTTATTCATAAAGTTATATTCTTTATCTACGTTTCTTAACACAGGCTATATCGAACATTCTATCAGAAAGAACATGATCAAACATGTTCAGACGTCTATTCTATTGTTATAAGAATAACGTACAATATTAAGTTTAATTTCGTTTAAAATTTTTTTCAAATCGAAATAATTTGACAAAACTGGAATCGCGTTTGCGATTACATTAATTTTTAAAAAACGATTTTTTTAAACAATTCTTAGGAACAATTTAGATAAAGGCATGAACGCTCTACATATCTTTAGTGTATATAAAAATATAAAACATATGTATAGCTCGTTCCAAACAGTCTATATAGCACAAAAGCAAAAGTGCATACCCAGTTTAGGTTTATCGGCCGCGTCATTTAATTTCAAGGATTACTGCGATAGGTAACTCCAACCACTCCTATATCCGCCAAATTCTACGTCCAAACGCGGAATATATGGTATGCACTTTCGAGGGAATTCGCATGTACACTTCACTATGTACACGAATAGGTACATACATAAGACGTTATGCGAGTAAAGCCCAAACAGTTTTTGTCACTATTGTTATTTCTAGTCCGTTATATTCGAGTGTATCCTGAAATAGAAAAAAAATACATATTTAATAACGTTTCATGTAGGTATTGGATCACACACTGTTAAAACTCTTCATTAAACTTTGGCGCTTAATAAGTTACATTCCGTTAAATTTAGCTTAAAATGACACATGTCTAATCAAGAATCAATGTTAAAATACTGTTATAACGACTGACCTATTGACATGATATTTAAATCAGTGTTATAATGTCATGGTAATAACTAAAGTAAAAAACCACCTCACGAATAACAGCGAAGGTGTGCAGCGCTAATACCATTTGTTAAATTTCCATATAATTCTTTATTGGAATGAATTAGATAAAAAATCGCGTGTCGGTCTGGTAACAACCCTAGTGCACAAATAAATAATGAAGATCAAGTGCGGGTAGTTAGAAAAACGCACTTGATCTTCATTATTACACGGCTAGAAGATGCTGACACCCTCTTCAGTCCCTTCGAGACCATGGACGTTGCAAAATGTCCAAGACGTCGACGTAAACAAAATATGTTTTATACGTGATTAAGTCCCGAATTAAAAATCAAATAATGTGTGAAATCGTGATAGTTTAAATAATAAAGTAGACAAAAAATCGTCAAAAACACATAATTTAAACATTTCAAAAATTACCGCCAAGATCGTTTCTCTACTGGACGAGTTGAGCGACTCGACTTCCCTGCTTTTGTTCACTGAACCTTATAACTTGGGCCTTTTCAAGACAAGAGTGAGGTATTATATAACTAGTGCTGAAGTTCTCAATAAACTGACGAAAAAAGTGGAGCTTATAACCACCATTATGTGCAGAAAGATGTCGTAGTTCGGCCACGTCATGAGGAACATTAAGTGCAAATTACTCCAGCTTATCATCCAGAGACGAATCGCTGGAAAACGAAGTGTCAGTAGAAGGTAGCACTCCTGGTTGAAATATTTGAGGGAATGGTTCGGCTGCAGTACCACTTGGTTCTTTAGAGCGGCAGCCCCTATAATTACGATTTATCACGAGAGAGGAACCCCAAGAAGAAGCTCCATCTTCGACTCCATCTTTTCTCCACATATTTCCACAATAAAAAAACTATATTTTCGATGCGTCCTAACAAATACTTTTTTCTCATCGGATAACTTCATCGAGATATTGAAAAGTAATAATATTTCTTAATGAAGTAACTCCGACAGCCATGTATTAATCATTTATGAATTTCAATTACCGTAAGTTAATGGGTGATAACTTAAAATAATTGTTGTTTACTTGATGTTTAAAAAAAATAGGTCACTGCTACAAGTTACGTCGTCTTAAGTTTGCAGACATATCTCTCATCAAGCTAAATTTCACGGGATATAGATTATAATGATTGATAATTGATAGCGTTCGTTCCTTACAATTACGGACATAAGTTATATAAAACAATAAGAAAACTAATTATTTACCATTGTGTTAAAAATTAATTTTTAGAATTATATTTTTAAAAGTATTAACTTACGTCCGTAAAAGAAGGGAAGGAACAACAAGGAAAAATAATTACTTAGCATGGTTGAAAATGAACCTTACCGGTTTATCATATGGTTAACAATTCACTAATAACTCTCATGACGGCCACACACCACAGTGATTCCCTTAATATCTTTTTCCGTTTCAATACATCTAAATAATGTACTACAAGATACATATCTTTTGTCGGATTTAATACGTCTACCCTAGTGTGTGGCTCGCCTTATACATTCGGGGTTATTTAGTATTATAAATGCCATTTTGTGCAAAATGTAATACGTGCGTGTTATTTACAGAATAGTAGCAAAATATTATTCTTGTTTAAATACAATAATTGTAATAATAATTTATTTTTCATAGGAAAATAGAAATTTATAAATTGAGGTCATTATCAATATTCTATTCATCACAGAATATAGAATATCTCTTATTTTGACATTGAGTACTTTTTAAATATCTATGTGTATTAATTTATTTATTGTTTTTGATCATAAGAGTTTGGCATATTGCCACCGTGTATGGCACAGTCAGCGACAACGTGAGTGTAAGTAAAGTGGAATTAATTGATATCCACGGGCATTTACTTCGTACTAAGGCAGAATATACAAAGCAGCAGTACGACCAGCCATAATGTATTGTGCTGAATGTAGGGCTCTCAAAAAGAAAATAGAATACACAGCGCGGAAATGAAAATCCTAAGATGGGCGGGCGGCGTTACAAGATTAGACCACGTCAAAAATATCCACATCACCCGGAAAAGTTGTTAGAGAGCCGACTTAGGTGGTACGGACATGTTATGCGACGACCGCCTGATCATATGACATGAAAGTCCTTGACATGAGTAGCCAGCCCAAGAGACGTGATAGACCTCGCCTCACATGGATATCCCTCATTAATAAAGATCTGCGAGAGCATCAGTTAAGACCACAGATGACTCAGGACAGACCGTCTTGGAGAAGAGTGACCAGAAGGGCCGACCCCAAATAAATGGGAATAAGGCCAGGCAAAAGAAGAAAGGGCATTTACTTAATATAACCTACTTCCAGGCTATTGCAGCGCCACCTAGATATAAGACAGAATTTTGAAATTTTTCAGAGTAACGACCTTGTAGTATGGCGATTAGCAGTCCCCTTCATTTATTCGTCCAAGATAATTATTAGTACGAAAATCGGTCGCAAAGAAAACTTCCTTCGATCTGACAGGACGTGTTGATCTTTGTATTATTAATAATTATAATAAACTATAAATTAAACAGCATGGTATTCAATAAAATCAATACTCAGAATTCCATGTTCTGTGTTACTATTCTTACAGATGTTTTGTGTGATTTGTGATTTTATAAAACCCTCTTTAGCTTTACTGAGAACTTTGTTCTTTTCTAAATGTTCGTTAATGGCATTTCAATAACTCAGCTTTATGTATAACAATTGTAATTAACCCGCGAATTTCCCTTAAACGTATAAAGTTAAAATGTGAATAATTTGCATCAAAATTGTAAGTTTACTTCTATTAGTGCTGTAAATGACAATATAGGAGTTATGATCACGAAAATCCGTGCTTGTTTACGGCAAATGTGCAAATAATTCTCGTTCATTATGTATTGTTTATTGGATTTTGTTACAATAGCAATAATATTAAAGTAATATAGAAAATGTGGAACCATCTGCTAAACGGCTCTAAATGCGCCACGAAGCCATAAGAATATCCGCCGTTTAAAACGGATGTACATGTTTTAAAGAATGTTTAGTGCACTTATGATTATTAGCACTTTCTACCACTTGCTTTGTCAATCACAACCTTGCTATTGTGGTAGTAGGCAATATTTTGTATTGTACTAGGTGTTACATTTTTTTTTTTTTTTTTAAGTATTTGGAATTGAGAACAACGTAACCGGAGAGCGTTGTGGTGTGGGAGAGAACGTAATGACTGAGGTAGAAAACAGAATGCTTCAATGATTTGGTCATATAGAACCATCGAGTATATAACCAGAAATATAGACGAGATGTCATTTAATTTGTTTGAAAACTATTCTGCCAAATCATTACTGTGACAACTGCGCTCCGATTGGCCAGCCCGAGTTCGAAACAATTGACGGGTGTCGTCAATTGTTTCACTTCAAGTCGACCAGTTCAACTTTGCTATAATGGGTGATAATTGAAAATTAACATATTTAATCACCGATGAAATGTGACTCCGTTTGTTTTGTAATTAGATGTTTTGCTGTTTTTCCCACACCACCGAACGGAACAGCCCCCATATTTAGAGATATTATCTTTATTACAATAAATACAGAACTTTTTTGGAATATACGGAGACGTACACACAGGCCAGTTGTTGGCGCTGTACTATTTCAGCTTTCTAATTTGTGATTTCAGTGCAAACGAGAGTTGATATTTAAAAGTAATATAAGGCCCATTTGCCTGATGAGCTGCCAGGGATGAATGGCCTTTATTTCATTTCTATTTCTGGTTATTATACTCGCTGTATAGAAAGGACTGATCTTTATATACACATATTTATAGTGATACTGGAAGGAAACGTGGAAAATTCTACCTAGGCATACATATCTCAACAATATTGACGCTGTCCTTGAAAAGGCCAGCTTGAATTTTAATTCAAGACTAAACGGGTGTATCCGAGACTAATGCCAGCGGAGAAAGCTAGTATATGTCAGGTGGTTTCGGATGTAGAGTCTGACAGTGGAACATAAGCCTGATAGTATCAAGCTGGATTTCACAATATACAAGTGTATGTAAATGGCATAGAATTGAATATTTCTTAAACCGAGCATGCTGTATATCGCAAACGGTGTTTAATAAAAAAACGATGTGGTTTTAGTAAAGGCTAAACACGAACATCTGCCATGTTACAGGTATTGAAACTTTTAGAAGTTCCGTATTGTAACAAGTACGGCAAACCCATGTAAGCTCTAGTGAAATATAACTTTTTATATAAAAAAACCGGCCTTAAAGATTCGTGGAATTGCATCTACTTGCCAAGTTTTATTGAATTCGGTTACAGGAAAGGACGCAAAATCAGATTCATCCCCTAGTTTGCCACCCTTAGAAGGGGGATATTTTCTTCAAATTTAAATGGGACCAATGCTGAGGTACCCTCTTTCCAGCAAAAAAAGAATCATGCTCATTGGTTTACAAATGAGTATTCGCGAACATATATACAAAAACTGCAGCCGAATTGAGAACCTCCTCCTTTCTTGAAGTCGGTTAAAAATAGTTTTATTCAAGTTTAAAGTTGAAAACTATCTATCTACAGCTTTGGACAATACAATTTATCATCTGTGATTGTCTATGGCGGTCGTAGTATCCGTTCGTATGAAAGGTGTTTAAGTGTACAAGTTTGACACAAAGCATATGCTGGTTTCATACATTGTGCACTTTGAATCCAACACTAAGGAAGCCGCGACCAAAAGCTAGTCAATAAATTAAATATTGCCTATAACCAAATATCTACAAACACACAAAACAATTCAGAAATTCATATCCAACCCTATTTGATACATAACTTCCTCTATATCCTGTCCGAACATCGAGGTCGTACCATTCGCTGTGGTGGGGGCATCCTCGTCATCCGTATCCTCGGGTGGTGCGGAACCTCCTCCCAGGGGGGTCAGGCCGAGGATAATGCGGATCTGGTCGGTGAGGTGGGGCGCTGATACGACCTGGTGGTATATACCTTCCGCTGCGCTAAGAATTGTGTCTACATCTAGTGACATTGACAAGTCGTTGACGTGCTGAAAAATATTTTAAACAAGTGTTAGAAATCTACGATGACGATGTAGTTTCCATGTGGCTGTGTGGTGGAATATTTCTTAAATCTTCTTCATACAAGTCTCCTCGAATAAAGGTTAACTCTATTCAGGGTTTATGGTCAGCCGTTCTACACAAGTCAGCTGTGATATCATTATACTAAGCGAGCTTTGGATAGACTCAGAATTCAGTATAATTACTAGTCGTACCGTTGTACATTAAATAAATTACCACCACCGAATAAACGTGTAAAAGCTTTTACCGTATAATTATTAACACAAAGATCAAACACTTTAGAAAAAATCCTTTGATCCGGCCGGATTCGAACCGACTAAGCCAACTAAGCCACGGAACGAGGCAGCGGACTTCACGAATTTTTCTATGTGTTTGTTGTCGGATCTTTTGTCTTATATAGGTATATACAAGGTTATTTGTATATATGTATACTAACAACTTCCCTGGACTATATTACTAACATCTTAAACAACAACTTTTGATTCACGACTTTTTACAAAACATAATAAAATAACGAGTTCTTAGGTTTTCGCGATTGTTACACATAGGAAATGAAACTATTTTTCCGGATTTAAATCGCGTATATTTGTTTTTTCAAACAAACCGACGTTTCGGGCCCTTTACAGGTCCCATGGTCACGGTTGACTGTGGTGGTACAGTCTTCAACCAGTTATGTCTAATATTGATGCAAACCACCCTATTTTTTCACTATAGTTACAATAGTTATTAATTAAATACCTTATTTTTAATTTTACAAAGAAAACTTGAAACTTGTTTAAGTTTTAAACTTTTAAATTTTTGTCGTACTATCTAACACTTTTTAGATCTGCACTTCGTAGTAAATTGTTTAGCGAGTTCCGCCGGCCGCTTGCTTTACTACCGAGCGTTCTGTTTAAATATCTTTATTTTTATCTTTATCTTTATTATTAGTATAAAAGCAAAACCTGCTGAGTTATTAATAGTCATGGAACAAAACTTGTTGTTTCTGATGTTAGTAATATTTTTAACTAGCAAATTATTTTCAAAGCTGCTATCTTTTACAAAACTCCATATTGAAAGGACTGTTTTAATATTGAACAGAAACCGAAATAATGAAGTAAAGTGTTCACCTTGAGGATCTCAGTGAACCCGTAGTCCCTTGAGATAAGCACGTCCTTCTCTGCGTCGAGTATAGCAACACATATCAGGAGGTGGAAATTGGCGCACGGCAAGCCTGTCCATAGCACCTCCCAGAGTCTGTCGAAAGGAAATAGAGAAATAAGGTCGGGGTCTTGAAGTTGGGCCACTCAGTAGTTTTATAATATAAATATTTTAAACGTAGTGACATGTAAAGGAATATGAAAAAGCTAAAACGTTGAATTTAAATTGTAATGTCATCGCAGTACTGTCTAATTTTGCTTGCTTCGCTGTCAGTCGAACAAACGAAGACTAAAGCGTGAATGATGCTCTGTATACAATTTTAACGCCCTATAAGTTCGGACACTTTCTGGCGCGGACCCGACGTCCATATAATTGTAAGTCAATGGTGTCAGCAGAATATTTAATTATACTTTCAACAAGTACACAACTAATTTTTTATTGAATTGATATTCAATTATTTTTATTTGAAATTACTCCACTAGATCGTTATAATTATTAATACAAAGATCGAACACTCAGAAAGAATTCCCTCGATCCGGCCGGATTCGAACCGACGTCTTCTAGCATACCGTGCCAGACGCTATACCAACTAAGCCACGGAACGAACCAGCGGATCTCACGAATTCTTCTATGTGCTTGCGTCGTATATTTGTGATACGTACCTCATAATGTCTCTATGCGAGAATTCCCTCTTAAACCAGACGAGCAACCATCTGAAGCAGAAGTACATATTGGCGGAGTCTTTGGCGGCGAGATGTTGTGCAAGGCCGGGTGATGCGAAGGTGATCAGCTGCTGCAGCTGGAGGAGCTGCTGCTTCATGCCGGCTTGATCCATGTCGAAATTCGATGCCTATGAGAAAAGGACATTTTTTTATTAGGAGATTTTATTATAGCTTTTTGCCTGCTTTAAACCCTCGTCGCATTATACCTAAGGTTACGAGCCTCTGCGTATTTTTAAAGTAACACCTGATAGATTAATTTAATGACACATTTTATTGCACCCGTGTTTTATAGCTAAAGTAACGGCACGCTATGGTGGCCATTTTGACAGATCACAATATAGAGGTGAAATGTATCTATTACTTAATGTCTTGTTAATAATACAAATTACTATAAATTCAAATGTTAAACTGCAATGCCCGAACAGGGTTCATGTACTGTCATTGTGATAGTTATTAAGATCAATTTTACACAAATTGTACATGGAGCAATAATGAATAAACAAATAAAATAAATAAATCTCAAGTCATTGGGCGAAAAAATATAATCAAATCGAGTCACATCTATAAATTTTTAGAATAATAACTTAGTATTGCGAGGCGTAGCTGATTCAAGTTTTAATAAATAATTATATATAAATTTTTTTTGACGTACCTAAGGTAGAAAAATATAATCAAAATTGTTTGTGTATGTGTGTCAGAATTTACAATAGATTACCAAATGACATTAAACACTTGCCCATTACATTATTTAAGACTAAATTATATGAATTGTTAAAGAATATAGTATATTACAGTATTAGGGAATTTCTACAATAATTTTTATGTAAAAGAATTTAAATTAATTATATATAACTTAATGTAAATGTAACCATGTGACGACCTATTTTTCATTTATTTTGCATGCCTAAATTATCTTCGGGCGAAACATGCTTGAACTTATATGTATATTACTGTGTTATCAAGACCACCATGTTTTATGCAAATAAACGATTTGATTGATTGATTGATAAAACGAAAATAAAAATGTGGTCAGCGATCCTGTAAGTGACGATATAGGTATTAGATCACATTTTTTAAATTACAAATTTCCAAAAACAAATGCCGAGTTGTGTCGTAAAATTGTCCATATATCCATAAATTTTTCTGCGCGTCACTATTGACAAAAATGTATATCAATTAGCTCCTTCGACGTGGTTATGAATTAATACGAAACTTGATGAGCGAGGCCTTTGTTTTTAAACCTTATAGATGAAGAAAAAATAGTATTTAAACAGTAGAGCCTGTTTTCTGCAATACTTATTGTGCACACCCAAAATTCTTATCGGACTGACACTGGAATCAATAAAAAGATCTCCCATTAAACCATACCGAATGGAGACCTTAGCAAAAAACAAAAACACTTACAATTTTATCCATGAACCCGACAAAACACCAGAAGCTGTCAACTTCGTTGCCCAAAAGCAGCAGCAGAGGCGCCAGGATATCGCTCATGCCCTGGACGTAACCCAAATCGAAGTTGTACATGACATACGTCATGAGGATGTCCTGCAGCATCAGCAGGTTCGGGTTATTGTCGCCTGCGAAGAACGGATGCGTTCTGTCGGTTCTGTTCACGTCTTTTTCGACTAAACTTTTTCTGTCTCTGTACTCTGTGAACCTGGGGAGTTGAATACGTGATTTCATTTGTGCTATTGACATAATATAGTTACCTCAATAACGTTCGACCAATATGATTTTTTTTCGTTGTTTTCGATAGTTCTTCTGGTCATCGTAATGGTAGACGAAATTTAGTATGTTTTTACTAAACTAGTCGTGCCATCTTTTGAGCACTTTGAGAACTACCGAGTAGCGAAATCAGCTGTTTAAAGACCACGACGCCATTTTATTCCACTTATAGTGTATTGTCGCGCACAAGCAACGATTTGAACGATTTTTATTGATTTTTAAATGATTACAAACATCTCATCATTGGCCTTTAAGCGTTATTTTTTTAATACGCGATAATCAGAAACAAAATAGCTGTTACAAGCAGCCGCAGTGACGATCAGCATTAATCTCTTACAGATTTGGCTTTCGGATTTTGATAAGCTGGCTACATTTTGTATAAAACCCGATAATACTTTACTACAGTCGGTTTTTTTTTTGAAAATGCAGTAAAATGACAGTTCACTGCGCAAAAGTGTTGCCCCACTTGCAAGCAGCTAGTGATTGCAGTCGATGAAATATTCTATCGTTTATCGACTGAATATTGATCGCGCTTTTGGAATAAATAGCCAAAATTGTTTCCTTTGAATCATCTTTGGCTTATTATACCTCCTACTGCTGGGTACAAGTTAATTTGAATTGCCAATTTTTGTAAATTCATACATACACACTACATTTACAACTACTTCTATTAGAAATACAAAAAGGGACATATTTTAAAGTATTTTTATTTCAATTTAATATACATAAGCAAATTTTTATTGAATTGATATTCAATTATTTTTTATGCGTAATTACTCCACTAGTTTGTTATAATTATTAATACAAAGAAAAATAACAAAAATACAAAGACACGACAAAAAGCACATAGAAAAATTGGTGAAGTCCGCTGGTTCGTTCCGTGGCTTAGTTGGTGTAGCGTCTGGCACGGTATGCTAGAAGACGTTGGTTCGAATACGGCCGGATCGAAGGAATTTTTTCTGAGTGTTCGATCTTTGTATTAATAATTATAATATACAAAAGCAAATTAAAAAAGTATATAAATAAAAATTTTGGAAATGAAACTATTTTTCCGGATTTAAATGGCGTATATTTGTTTTTTCAAACAAACCGACGTTTCGGGCCCTTTACAGGTCCCATGGTCACGGTTGACGGAAAAATAGTTTTATTTCCTATGTGTAACAATCGCGAAAACCTAAGAACTCAATAAAAGTTTTGAAATTGCAACACTAGTACGCCAACTGTTAAAATAAGAATAAAGAAGACAATACCACAATTAGTAATGATTAGAATGTAGTAACATTCATAATCAAGAGATTTTTGCACAAATTTTACCTTCTGTAATGTTCTATCGATAAAACTGTCGACAACAACTACGTGACTATTTAAAATTTCACGAAAACTGGCAACCCTGCAAATGTCATTTTACTCCATCTTCAAATGACAGACTATAAATCACGAGTCTTCAACTACGTTCATAAGTAAGTTACTTGCCTATTCTCTTGGCCCTCAGTCATGGACCGCCATTGCAGCTTCATGGAGAAGTACTCCTCGGATTTCTTCTTCCGTAAAGACCGCAGCTCGCTGTGGGACATGTTCCACGGATGATAATCCAGCAGGTACTTCCAAACGGACTGTCGGATTGAGTGAGCCACTCCCTGGGAATACCAAAATATTATTTGTAAATGTAATTGTCAAAAATTAGTCCGATGCGTAAGAACCAAGGACCAAGAGCTAATCTTCATACCATAGATTGTAACTCTGAAAAAGGTCAAAAATCCGCCTCAGATCTAGATAGTGCTGATCAAAAAATAGCCTGGAAGTAGTTTATATGGTTACTTATCAGTAGTCTGAAATGACATTTTCCAGAAATAACGTTTGCCCGAATTTTCATAACTTCGAAAGTAATTTTGAGAGGAAAATGTTTTTCTTTTAAACCTAACCTAATCGAACCGAACCTAATCGTGTCAACATGCCCGGAAAAAACAACGGTTTCGTTATAATCCGGTTTTCGGTGCAATGAAGATTCGAATAAACGTAATTTCGGAAAAAAAAATTCGAGTTTGTGATAGGTTACCGTTTATACTACGTTAATGGCCGTGGACATCAAATAATTCCTCTTTAATATGGAATAAGAAGTCAGTATTTTTTCCTTGTAATATATTTTCTGAAATTTGACATATGTATATGCATGTTAATAGATAGCATTGTGTGTTACAAACTAATTTATAAATTAACGCTTCCTAATATGGGTAGATGGCGCTAAATCTAAACAAAATAAAAGAATAGCCGGCACTATAGTCCATTTGTTTAGATACTTAACTAAATGTATATAAGTCAATAAAAAGATGTATCAAGACTGTTTACATTTAGTTAAGTACAAACGGACTATATCTATAAAAATCCGTTCAATAAGCGCCATCTAGTTGTTTTATTTGTTATCACTAGAAATTAGAGCAGCTTTGATAAATTCATCGAGTCTATAACCAGAAATATGTTCCTGGTAACTCAACAGTGATCCATCACTTATAAATATCAATTCTCGTTTGCACTGAAATATAAACAACTGCCAACGACTGACCTGTGTGTACGTCTCCGAATATTCCAAAAATGTTCTGTATTTATTGTAATAAAGACAATATCTCTAACAATGGCGTGCTGTTCCATTCGCTGGTGTGAGGAAGAACAGTAAAACATCTAATTACACAACAAATGGAATGAAATTTCATCGGTAATTCAATATTGAATATATAATTTTGCAATTGTCGTCCATTGTAGTAAAGCTCAAGTTAACTGGTCGATTTGAAGTGAAACAATTGACGACACCCATCAATTGTTTCGAATTCGGGCTAGCCAATCGGGGCACAGTTGTCACCGTAATGATATTGCAGAATAGTTTTAAACGAATTAAACTATTTCTGGTTATATACTCGATGGATAAATTGCAGCTTGTCAATATAAAACAAATTAGTTACAAAAATAGCTATTTGGTACGCGTCGCGACATCTTGTGTACCAATAAGTACTAAATGCCCGACAGTTGTCATGTATCGCGAATAGCAGACTTCTTGAGTTATTGGTTCATGGTAAGAACTAAAGACATTTATAAATGTATATAACTTATAAATTAAAGTCATATGTACATGATGCCACAGGGAATCCAACTGCTGAGAGGGCTCACTTGAAAAACAACGATGCTCCCACTAGACTACCACCTACCAAAGAATGTGAAAGAAAACTTACCCCTCTAAATATAAGTTGTCGCACCCCGTCGACTTCAATAATTCTGCCCTCTGTGTCCTGAAGGCCCTCCCATTTCTCCGTCGAAAGCGGCGACCCTCTGATGAATACAATTTTTTTTATCACGCTATAATAAAATTATAGGTATAAACTTCGTATTACAGCGTTGTTATTTGAAACACAAAAGCTTTTTTTTTATCAAATATAACCATTATTTTTTCATTGCATCTTTAATTTAGCATTAATTCACATCAATTTTAACGTAATGTAAAATTAATTGCTAAATAACAAACTTTGTAAATAGCTAAATTTCTTTGTAGGTTAAAAATATAAATCGAATTGAAAAAGCTTGCAAAGCTGGCAGAGTTTGCAAACAAATAAATATTATAATGCTATAATAAAATTATAGATTTAAATTTCAAACGATAATGTTGTCATTTGTGACACAAAACCTACTTTTATCACGCGACAATACATATAACTGCCTCTGTAGCTGATCGGTTACCATCTTGGTCTGCCGCGCAGAGGTTCAGGGTGCGATTCCCGAGACGGGAGAAAGCAAGGCCTATATTTATTTCTCTCGTGAGTTTGGGTGTAATTTGTAGCTGTCAAAAAAAATTCGGAGTAAACTTAATATTAATAATACAAAAAAACTATATGGACATGGCAGCATTTATTCGTTCACAAACCTGGGTATGTTAGGTCGCGGTGGGAGGGTCGGTTTAACGCTGATAACCTCATATTCGTCGCTCTTTGTAACTGTAGTAGCGTCTTCTAAACCACTCATGCTTTTCGTCAGCAGATCCGCTACTTCTTCTGACACGTCACGTTTCCCATTTACTCCTTCATTGCCATAGTAGACTGGAATTAAACAACGGTGGTATGTAACAGGGTAATTCTGCCATTTGATAAATAAACCTTACGGGCATTACTGCAAGGTGCACTTTTGCTTCTAGAACTACAATCAAAAGAGAAACGTGCTCAGGAGAACAGGTATGAGTAAACGGCGGTATGAGGTTTGAACTTATGCTTGTAAAAATAAAGGTCAAACTCCCCTTGCCTTTTTTTAGAATTTCAAGTGACTGGACGAAAAAGTCGTGCGCCTGATCGTAAGCTACATGGTGGTTTTGACATTGACGTTTTATGTCATAGACTAAATGCTTCAAACACATAATTATTCATAATTTGAAACATTGAAATCGTCACAATAATTGGTCGTAGTTTCAAATTTAACTTTACGCTGTTGGCGTATCGTTCAAAGTTCAATACCATTACTTCATACCTATTACAGCAAGTTACCACGTTTTGATTTTATATTCAAATTTCAATAAATGTGCTACCATCTAGCGGTTAACTGAACGATGACGAATTTGCAATATTTACTTAGTTCTCCAAAAAACAAGCTTCAATATTGCAGTAGAAGGTTTACAATTGTTTCTTGTAACAAAAAAGTTATTACGATAAATAGAAAATTTAAATCTTATTAAAATTAAATAAACTAAGTCTTAATGATGATGCGACTATCTTTTTAACACTCCAAAGTAACGATAATTTCTAGGTTTCGCGCGAGACAATTGACATGAACATAAAGTACAAAGCGATAATAGCGAACTGAACTCAAGTTTGAGGAACCCTGCATTTATTGTGCTGTTAATTTCTGAATTTAAACCAAGAATATGTAAACGTACTCACGTTCTTTCCGAAGGGAAGGTACATGTGCAAAGAGAAAAGAAAACAGAAATACATTGTAAGTTATAAAGTTGTTTAGTTGAAAATACAAAGAGCAGGTCTTACCAATATCGGTGAGCTTGGAGAAAGCCTCCATAGTGGTCTCATAAGGTCGCTGTTTGAAATTGGAAACGAGGTTCCAGACGACATCTGTCGTGTTTTCCGTGAAGATGTTCAGCTCCGCAAAGGATCGATTGAGGTCCAGCGACTCTTGGTTTGGCTCCACTACTACATATGTGTTTCTGGTGGAGATGATTTATAATATTTTTAAACTATTTATTAATTTTTATTTATCTTAAAGGAAAACCAACCGCTTGAAACTAGCTTATAACATTTTCTATCGATAATAATCTATCGATAAAACTTTCGACAACTAAAAAAATAAGAAAGGTCCAAGTATTGCGCCTTGTGGAACACCAATTTTACCGGAGAACCCAAAGAAATCACTCCATTTATGTCTACTTTCTGAATTCTACCGTTAAGATATGACGAGACAAGTTCCAACGCCTTGCCACTTACTCCGTAATATTCCAGCTTCCTAATAAGAGTAAGTAATATGATCCACGCAATCAAATGCCTTTGAGAGGTCACAGAAAAGTAGCGTTCTGGGACCTTTCCCAAGCATCAAAGATATGTTTTAGTAGTGCTACCCCCGCAGCGCTAGTCGATCTACCACTAGTAAACCCATATTGTTCACTATGAAAAATAAGATTCCTACCGAAATACGACAGTAGTTGAGTCAACATAACCTTTTCGAATATTTTACTTAAAGCTGGTAGAATTGAAATGGGCCTATAATTACTACGATCAACTTTTCTACCGCTTTTGAATAAAGGAATAACCTTACTGTATTTCATCAAATTAGGAAAAATACCTTCGTCAACACACCTATTGAATGCATCAGCTAAATGTGGGGAAATTAGATAAATTACCGAGTCTATAACTTTAATATGCCCCAGAGATTTTCAGTTTTTTTTAACATGTATACATTTAAAAGCTTTAATGATGTCTTTTGAATTAACATGATGAAAATTAAATACATGTTAGATCTAACACCTCTAGCTGAAAACATCGTGATGAAACTCGTGAAACCCTAGTTGAAGAAGGTTCACAACCCAAACCGTGCTGGGCCACAGTGGCGGACACAGCAAGGAACAAAGGTATTCAAACAAAATATTTCAAACAAACGTCGGTTTGTTTGAAAAAATAAATATACGCGATTTAAATCCGGAAAAATAGTTTCATTTCCTATTACATCTATTTGCCAAGTTTTACTTGTATCGGTTAAACGAAAGTGCGAGAAACCGGATTCATCGTCTAGTTTGCCACCCTTAGAGGTGGTTCTATTCTATTCTATACACACAAAATACAGTCGAATTGAAACCTCCTCCTTTCTTAAAATCGGTTAAAAAAGGGCAGCTTAAAATGAAAAACACACCTGTCGTGTCTCGTCTTAGCAGTCTTGAGGTGATTCTTCAAATTAGCGACGAACATCTCGGCGTGTCCATGCTGGAAGTAAAATGTCGCCTGCCACACACCCGGCTTAGTGGAGAAATGCATTTGCTGACTGTTTCGGGTAACTTTGAACGTCTTTAACTCATCCAGGGAGATTTTTATAATGCGCGCGCGAGCCGTGGCATAGTCAGACGTCATGTTGCCGCTGAGTGTGCGTTGGCGACGACCTATGGAAATAATTTCTTGAAATTATCAAGAAAAATCAAAACATTAGAAAACAAAATAATCAAAACCTTTGGCGGTCAAAATCGCCTTTTTTGTTTGTTACATCAAACAAATTATATCGACATTTTGATGTTATACTATCACAGACATATCTTCGTTTTGTAGAAAGGGTGAAACTGACATTACGAAAAAAATTTCAGGGGAGCATGGTTTAGGTTTTAACGACTGTTTTAAAATAAATTTTAAACTTCAACTTAATTGAAACCAAAATTTTATTTAAAACAGGTCGTAAATATTTCAAAACAGTCGTAAAAAACGTCGCATATTCAATTCCATAAAAGTTAGCAAATTAAACTAAAAATCGACAAATTCTTTAAAAAACCTGAGTAGTTTTTAATTAATTGGTCGATTTTTAGTGTTCTTGTAAGTAATGGGTATAGTTAAAATTCTTTTTTTTAATGAGTAACAAAAACTCTAGGGATTGTAATTTTTAAGTTCATTGAATGTCAAGATGGTTGACCATGATATTCAATTTTTTTTGTGAAATTCTCCACTAATTTGTAATAATACAAAGAACACTGAGGGTCGTATTCCAGAACTCTACTCAATACTCAAGTCAGAACTTGAGTATTGCAGTGAGCACTGAAAATCATACTCAAGTCCTTGCCATTAAGTCGTATTTCCAGTGCTTGAAATCATACTCAAGTCTGCTCAAATCCTGACTTGAGCATTGAGTACAGTTCTGGAATACGACCCTAAGAAAAGATTCCTTCGATCCGGCCGGATTCGAACCAACGTCTTCCAGCAAACCGTGCCAGACGCTATGCCAACTAAGCCCCGGATCGAACCTTGTGAATTTATCTACGTGCTTGTTGCAATCTTTTTTTTAACGACTTTTTGCCGTAGCACCATTGAAAGAGAAATCTAGGGATTGCTTTTTTAAAAATTCATATTTTTCACATTTTTAAATTTACAATACTGATTTAAACATAGATAGAAACAACCTGACAAAGCGAACCGGTTTACTCTCCTGGATTTTTGTCCAAGTTAGCAGAAACTGCATAGTAATAATAACCTTTTGTATAAAGTATTTGTAAAATCTCTTAAATAGCAAATAATGAACGTAGAAACGTAGGTACGTAGGTACATTTACCAGGCAAAGTATAGGTATACTTTGCCTGGTAAATGAATTTGTGACTTTGTGAAGGCGACTGTCTTAATATGCCAAACGGCGAGTTGTCACCGTTGAAAACAAGTCACGTTCTTACCTATAGTATTGACAACTGCCCACTCCTGATCCTGAGTATCGGAGTCGATGGTAATCAGATCGTTAGGCCGCCATTCAATGCACTTGGACCCGTCTCCGTTCTGCACGATGCACAGCATGCCAATGGAGTTCAGGTCTGTGATTGGGCGGCCCGCGCATGCTTTTAATAGGACGCCATCTTGGGTGAAGATGTCCTGGAATAGACAACATTATAACCACGTTGAGGTCGGTTTTTTTAGTGCTCTGTACGGAGATTATCATTTCATTAAGTATAGGGTCCCAATAACTGCCTCCGTGATCGAACGGTTACCACAGACTACCACACAGGGATCGCGGGTTCGATTCCCGGGCAGAGAGAAATACTTGTATGGTCCATATTTATATCTTTCGTGAGTTTGGATGTAATTTGTGGTTATCTATACATGTGTCCATAGCACCCGCGATACAGGGTTATCTTTGCGGAGTTATAAGTGTGTGCTTTATTATTATAAAAAAAAAACTTCATAAAAATGTTTGTGGTATACGGTCCTGGTGTGTCTTTGTTTTTCCAAGGTCTTGTCCAAAATGTCTCATGACCTCGGTGGCCGGTTAGCAATTTGAAAAACAATCTTTTCTAAATTCTACTCCCAAGTGGTCTGGGTACAGGGAATTATTTAATTTATGTGTGCGTGGACTGAGGGCCCACATGATTTTTGCCAGTTGTAATACCTGGAAGGTTTAGTACAAATTGTAAAGCATTTTGTAAAACACAACCTGGAATTTGTAAAGAATACATTAAAAAACTATACAACATAAGGTGCGGTCTCTCAAGTCTCACACCAAAGCTTCCACTTCTGGGCAAGTATTTAGTTTGCCGGCATTGTATGTTAACAGAAATTTAGTAAAAACCTCTTTAAACATTTACACAATGAACAAAACGTAATTTGGCAATGATTATATATTATTACATGTTTCTTTATATGGGCCCTGAGAAACCACATTTAAAAAACGTATAAATGAATAAATATATACAGGGTGTAAAATTGAGACGGCAGCAAGGCCAGCCACCTTAATCGTTGTAGTTACAGGAAAACGGTTCCAGAAGACTATCCATGGATAGAGGTATCCATGAATTTTGAAGATATTTTGATTGGCATTCACAGATTTAAAAAAATGTTACAGTTAACAACCTTTTTTATGACATTCGATCCGGTCTCTGTTAAGGACCAATAGTCTCTATGGGACCAACTGAGGTAAGAGTACTCGAAATGTCAGACATCGCAAAAAACTTTTTACTATACATTTTGTAGGGACATATTTAACAATTAGTTATTCTAGGTTAAGGAAACTAACAAATTGACAACGTATTATGTATTTCAAAATAAAAACAAATAACAAAAACCAAAATAACATAAAAAATGTATGATACCAAGTGCTCGAATTGATTGCCGCCTTGGCGGATGCATCGATTGGCTCTCTTCCGCAAACAGCAAGTAGCGGCTGA